CCCCCCCCCTTTCTGTCTCCAGTCATCATACGTCCGCAGGAACTGACGGCATCAACGTCTTCTAAGCATAGCTTGTGAGAGTAGGGTTGTGATCGTCTCGAGATCATCGGGATAAACAGCGGTGAAGTCTATTACATACTCGGATAATCACGCTAGAGAGAATGCAATTAAAAAACTATCAGTGACTGCGCATTTAAAGCCATTTACACAAAGGCTTTCATTGGCGGAAACGTGATCAATTCTATCTACCGCATTCGAACTGAAATCTAATCGTCTAGTGCTGAAGGCGATAGCGATCAGGGACTACGCTAGCTTCTTACCAAAGAATTAGTCCGTGACGCCGAGTATGTGGTGATTATGCTTGTGAAACGACATTAAGGCGGCTGTTTATGTTTTGCACTTAAGATGCAGTCTACATTACATCAGATGAAAACTCTCACGTGCTTCGCTAATAACAATTTGAGCTCAAATCGTATTCGAACTCAAGCTGAAAATTCGAGTTTCATTTTCCAGCCGGACAGCAGGTACCTTACTGCTTGCGAAAACCCTTTTTTACAAAACCCAGCAGTAAAAGAGTTTTTCGAAGACATATAATAATAGTAAGACTCTGTTATTAGTATAAAAATGCGCAAAAAGTTATTAATATACAACTGTGCTACTATAAATAGTAGAAAAGGTAGGTGAAAATTTTGTCCTTGAAAATCACATTTCATTGCTCTGAGTCATCCGGTAACGAATACATTGTGGGCGCTGATTGAGTGGGCGGCCCGAGCGCTTGGCATAGAGCTTAGTTGACATATTTATTGAAAGACCGGCAAAAGATTCTTAAATGAGCAAGTCACAATTTACAATGTCTTTTCGTCAAACAACGTTTGTTAAGCGGATAACATCTCTGGATGAAGTTAAATTTTCTAAGAAGGGGTTTTCTTCACAGTCCTAAGTATAGAGTAGTATGAATACTTCTGTTCCAATTCATTAGTGGAGATCGTTTAAAAAGGCGGCCGCAGAAAAACCAAATTCTGTCGAATATTATACAATAAATTACAATAAGCGAAATCTTATAAGTAAACTTGTGAGATTTATTAACCAATTGATTATTAAACTGATAAGATTTCGAACTTATTTATGATGAACATGAATATTACATACCTATGATATGTAAATATATGCATACATTTACATTAATATGCCTAAACATTCGATTGTATGCGGCTATCTCATAAGTCGTGAGGCCATCAAAAAGCATGCATAAACGTTAAATATTCAAAGTAAAAATAAAGGTTGATAAGGCCAAAAAAGTTATGTAGCTGCAAGGTTTACGGACCGACGGCATACGAAGCAAGGATGGAATAGCCAGACAGAAATATCCCAACGGAAATCAACCAATAGGACTAACGGGAGTTGTTTTACTATGCCAAATATAACTATTCAATTTCTGGAATCCTGAAAGAGTACGGACTACTGCAGTTTGGCCGCAAAGCAAATGACACGAA